CTCGGGCCACTTCAGGTCTCTCCATTCTTCCGTTTTTCCCTTTTCCCTGCCTCTATGGATCCGCGCAGGGCCTGTGCGCCCCTACGCACTGCAGCCCAGCACTGCAGCGGTGGTCGCTGTCTCCCCAGCAGCACCCCAGTCCCCAAAGAGTCAGAGGTTGGGCTTGGGATCGGGATCGTTCAGGGCCGGGCAGCTGGGAGGGGGACGCTCGTGGTGGAGCAGCTGCGGGGAGAAGATTGCAGGAAGTTTGCAAGTTTCGATCATCACCATTTAATTTTTGTCTTCTAGCTGCTAGGTCAGGCAGCTAGAAACATGGTCCTACAGGAAGATGCCATCTTGCACTCGGAAGACGTAAGAAACAATTCTTTTTATCATTCGGGGTTCACGGACACAGTTTGTATGGCTACAGGGAAGTGGAATATTTTCTCCCTCTTTCTGTGTGCGCAGAGTTTACGGAAAATGGCAATAATCACAACACACCTTCAGTACCAGTGAGTATGCCTCCCAGCAGCTGCTCCGCAGGGCGAAGTCGGGAGAAGTTGGGGTAGGGGAGAGAACAGAAGTGGGGGCCACCTTCTGGAGCCTTCCTGTGTTAGGGGCCCTTGGGGGGGGAACGCCCCGTTTAGGGCAAGACCAGGCCAGGAGCGAGCTAGCCCTGTGCCTCTCCCCAGGCGGGAAGTGAGACCTCTTCTTCCCTGTAACTTTGAACGAAGTTATAATTTGTTTCTCATCTTTTAATTAATTAATTAAAAACAATTTTTTTTTTGGTACCAGTGATCAAACTCAGGACCTTGTGCTTGTGAGACAGGTGGCAGAAACACTGAGCTAAATCTTTCTTTATTTTGTTATATATTTTACATAGTGGGTCATTTGACTCCAAAGACTCACACTGGACTGGAGCCATACAGTCGTTTGTGGGGCCGCCCCCTCCCTCTGCGGGAGTACTGTTAACTCTTTTAAGTTTGGAAGCCTCTTTTTGGGTTTATTTAAGCAGTTTTGCTCTCAGAATGGAATCCCTGTTCTATGGTACAATCGTAGGACAGAGTCACAGAAATACAGACTGTGACAGAAGCCAGAAAATTGTTCTGGCCATATCTTTCTGGCTATAAATAATTTCTACTTTATTGTTTTTTTCTTATGTTTATTTTCTTCTTTCTTTTTTGCTTTAGGCAAGAAGCTATTCAGAAGAAGTAAGTAACCCCCAACAGGGGACTGGAGAGACAGCTGAAGCAGGCTTGGGGAAATTGTACTGTGGCCCCACATCGGTTACATAGGCCCTGAAATTGACATGCTCCAGAGTAGCCCATTCAGAATTTAAAGAAAACAGTGTATTTCAAAGGCATGAGACAACCCAATGTACTGCCAATAAAGGCTTCTTTGGGGGGAGGGGGAAGATAGTGTCTTGCTCTGTAGTCCAGGCTGGACTTGCACTCACAGCGATCCTCCTGCCTCAGCTCCTGTGTGCTGGAATTACAGGTGTGCGCCACCACACCCAGTTCCAATAAAGATTTTCGAGAAGTTACAGGATATAGCTAGGTGTGGGAGGCACTCCTGTGATCCCAGCACTCTGAAGGCTGTGGCAGGAGGAGCACCAAGAGTTAGAGGCCATCCAGAACTCTATAGTGAACCCCTGTCTTAAACCAAAAGTTACAGGGTATAGAAGTTCAACTTAAGGAACAGAAGATGGTTTTACAATGATCATGTTAATTAAGTAAAGTAACAGTTCTAAAACCATTAAACAGTCTTGTTTTCTCATGTAAATTCAATGTGCTCCTCACTCTACTGTTTACATTACTGATTGGCTTTGCAAACTTTTCTTTGTAGTTTAAACTTTGGTTTTGTCCCTAAGATGGGCTGTTGCATTGTTACCCAGGCTGACTTTGAACTCCTGTGTTCTAGCTTTTCTCCTGCCTCAAAGCAGCTGTGACTCCAGGTGTGCACCAACGCCCTGGGCCCAGTCTACACACTCTCGGGACCCAAGTGGACCCATATAAATTTTAATTTACCTGTAACAATATCTGTGCATTCAAGGATAGATTGTACAAAGAAATGTCTTTATATCGCAGATAAACCTCGTCTTTTGTTTTTACATTTTTTATTAGTATGTGTTTGCAACACACAGTGAATATATCCGTCTCGGAGTTGGTACAGGTACACACTGTAGTACATCTTAAGCCTTTTCATTTCTCCTTCCCTTCTCCCTTTCCTCTCCCTCCACCGCCATCTGTTCTTATTTCTAGTGTTGAACAGTCATCAGACCTACAGGACCAACTGAAGCATCTGTTGAAATAGACTCACCTAGAAGATGGTGATAGCACTTCTTTGTCAGATGCTAAGGAGGAAACATCTTGCACAACTGGCTTTCATTTTCCATTTTCATCTCTAAAGTTAAGTTAGAAAAGATTGATGTCAATGTAGTTTCTCCTGCAAAGTAGTGACCTGGATGAGCTTTGGAAGCACTTCTTCCGTTGAACCAACCTATGCTCTTCATGGGCTTTTTTTTGGTACCAGGGATTGAACTTGGGACCTTGTGCTTGTGAGGCAGGCAGCGGAACCACTGAGCTAAATCCCTGGCACTTCATGTATTTTTAAGTTGCTCTGTTTATTTGATATTAAAGCAAGATTGAAAGTCATCTTAGTTTTTGCCTTGGATTTTTAATATGTCAAAAAACATATTGTCTAAGTCAATCCTTAACAAATGCTGAGTAAAGTTTTACATTCAGAAATAGAGCTTCCAGCTAGGTATGGTGGTACCAGGAGCCTGCAGTCCCAGCTACCTGGGAGGTGAGGCGGGAGGATCACTTGAGCCCAAGAGTTTGAGACCAGTCTAGGCCACATAGTGACTTGATCAAAAGAAAAAAAATTTCTATTGTGAACACATGAGAATGATTAAAATGTGTGAAAATGTTTTTCTTTTACTTATTCATTCAGGAAATATTAATACAGAACAGTAATAGGTAATACCCACGGATTTCTAACTATTCAGAGGAGACACTTGTGTTAGCAAATTCCTAATGAAAATCAGGCAGATAGAATCGTATCTGGCCAGCTGCAGCCTCTTGCCTTGACCTTCAGTCCTAAGCTTCCTTTGTTGTTTGGACTCTTGATTAAGTGACCTTGGTTCATTTTGTAATTTTCCAATCACCCGTAGATCAGCTTGTGTATTATTGCAAAGGCAGTTGAGTTACTGTCAGTGATTGTGATACAGGATTGTTCCACAAGGAACACCTTGAAGTTTATCGACATTTACCTATGTCCATTAGATTCACCTTGTTAAAGGTTACTACCGTTATCTATGGTCAAACCTCAATATGTTTACTTTGAATTTAAAATAGGACTCTATCCTGTTCTTGAATATTTCATTTACTAAGGAATTGAGAGAAAACTGACATAAGTCAGTAGTGTCTTCATTTGAGTATATGTGCTGCCAAAGCGGGCACAATAGTGTCTTCATTGAAACAGAGAAGCAAATAAGAGGGCCGGGGATTTAGCTCAGTGGCACCGTCCCTGCCCGGCAGGCACAAGGTCCTGAGTTCAAGCCCCAGTACCAAAAAAACCCCCAAAAAACAAATAAGAATCAGTCTGATGTAATTCATACTGTGTAACATTGAGCATTTTACATTTATCTCATATGTATACATATTAAATTAGTAAAATAATTGAGAATCCAAAAAGGATTCACTTATGCATTAACTCTGTGAACTTTTATTAATAACTATATTATTAAATATAAACAAGCTCAATTTGCCTTTCAGAAAGGGCACAATTTAAAAACCTAAACGATGTCCAAGTTGGGTATGGTGCCCTGTGTCTGTGGTCCCTGCTCTGAGTAGGTAGAAGCAGGAAGATTACCACAAGTTCCAGCGACCAAGGCCAGCCCAAGGTACACAGCAAGACTTGGTCTCAGAAAAGGGCAGAAATAAAGAGAAAAACTAAGGGCTGGGAATGTAGCTCAGCAGTGCAGTATCTCCCTGGCAAGTTTGAGTCCCTGAGTTGGATTCCTAGTACCTAAAACAAAACAAAACAAAAAATCAACAGATTGAAAAAAAGGGGAGTTTGGAGCCGTGGATTTGGCTCAGTGGCACCACACCTGCCTCACAAGCAAAAGGTCCTGAGTTGGATGCCCAGTACCAAAAAGGGGGCGGGTTTCAAGACCCACCCTGGGGTAAAGGCATAGAAAAAACAATGATTTCAAATAAAACTAAAAGAAAATAATTTCTTCTTAAAGCAATATGTTTGAAAATCCAAGAACCAAACTAATATTTAGTGAGGAAAAGGAGTCACAGAGCCTTACAATATTACAACCTTACAGAACTACTGAATTCTGGCCCCATGTTTTACAGATGAAAAACAGATGGAGAAGAAATGACTTGCCCAAGCTCTTGTGTTCAAAGTCTTTTGATTACTTGTCAAGCTTTTTGCTAGCTGTCCTTTTCTTATAAATAGAAGCAAGTATGTCACCTGTCACTTCTAGTCTTTGACATAATAAGAAACCTAGAAAAGAAAGTGATCTTGGAAGTAGTTGAAACCAACTTGTTATTTACCCGTTTCTGCAGCTCAGAAACTATCCCAAAACTGGTCATCTAGCTTCTGCTTAATGCTCCCAGAGTCTGAGGGTCATTTACTTTGAGATGCTGGCCATTTGGGGAGCTTTACTTTTTTTTTTTTTTTGAGACAAGAGTCTCATTACACAGTTCAGGCTGGCCTTGAACTCACTGTGTATGTAACTTAGGCTAGGCTCTAACAGCAATCCTCCTGCCCCAGTTTTCTAAGTGCTGGGATCACAGGCGTGCACCACCATGCCTGGCTGGAAAACTTGACTTTTTTGAAAGATGATTCTGAGTACTGAACCAAATCTGTCTTCCTGGACTGTCCTGGAGTTACCAGACTAGCAATTTCTGAGGTGGAATGTATGGCAGGATGCATAAGGCCATCTTGGGAGGTAAGGGAAAAACATTTGGAAATTTCTATATAGGGTGATTTTTAAATGTTAAATAATAATTAAGTTTTGCTATTATTGAAAATATGGCCTGGTATAAGAGCCCTAATTTGGCCCAGGTCGTACATATAGATATTTAGCATTCCTACCATTTAGCAAGAGTTAGAGTAAAACACAAAACAAAAACAAGAGCTGGGGTTGCAGTTCGGTGGTGGAACTTGGGCCCTTAGTTTCCAATCCCAGCCCCGAGAATGCAGCAGCAGCAGCAGCAGCAGCTGCTGCTGCTGCTGAAAACAGACTTGTGGTTGGGCACTGACCACTCAGTGATGGTCCTAGGCTGGCCCAGCACACCACATGCCATCGAGGGAACTGGGAATAAGCCTGTCACTGGAGGTTTCCTTTATTGTCTGTGGTGGTTTCCTTTATTGTCTGTGGAGGTTTCCTTTATTGCAGTTTATCTGTGTGTGGTTAAGGATAATCAGATAATTGTTGTGAATAAACCACCAGCTGAAGATAATTGTATAAAGGAAGCACAAGTGAAAGTAACAGAGGCCTCCCTTAACCATCTGCTAATTTGTCCCTGCAAGAGAAAGCCATATTAACAGTGAGAAAGTAGCTGTTTGGCTAAAAGGACTCATTTTTTGGAAAAATAGTTTGAAAACTAATACTTAGGAGTATTTTCACCATTCTACAATTGCTAAAACTGTAATTAATGCCTATAAAATTATAAATTTTATTATTATAAATTTTCTCATTATTAATAATTAGTAGGCATCATATTTTTATATTTCTAACAAATTAAACCAACTGAAGCTATGGTTGTTGGAATTTTTATGGATTAGAATATTTCCAATTATTAAATGTGTAAAACCACCACTCCTCGATGTAGAAAAAATTATTTTTGGCCAGGCGTGGTGGTGCACGTCTGTGAGCCCAACACTCAGGAGGCTGAGGCAGGAGGATCGCTGTGAATTTGCGGCCACCCTGGGTTACACAGAGGTCCAGGCCAGCCTGAACTACGTAGTGAATCCCCCACCCCCCGCAAGGTGACTTGCCAATATGTGGAAACACGTGAATTGACCAAAACATTGCTGGAGGTGAAAACGAGTTTAGCAAAGTTGTCTTCCTGAATTCAACTCCAAGTGAACCGGGCGAGGCTGCGCCACGCCTGTGAGCCCACCTGGATGGGGCGCGGGCGGCGCGCTCTGCTGGGGTCCGCGGGAGACCGGATGCCATTCCCGCCCCGCAGGCAAGGAGCTGTGAAGGAGCCCGCCGGAGCCTACGCTTCTGCCCACCGCCCCTCGGCCTCAGGGTGCCAGCCGGACAGGGCTCTCTGGGCTCAGGTTTTACTTCCCCAGGTAAAAGTGACGACTCCCGAGGAGCGGAAAGCTTGTTCCATCCTGGCACATCCTGGGCCCGAGTGCAAATGCTTTATTCAGCAAATACCTGCTTTACCACAGTATCTGTGCCTGCGCGGAGCTGCTGGGCTGATGCGGGACACCGAGCGCCCGAAAAGGAAGACGGACACGCACGGTGGAGGAGAGCGGGAGAGGAGGGAGCAGCCAAGGAAGACAGGGCGTGGGGAGTGGGGCCTGCACACCTTCCGTCTCCGGGAAAGGAGCTACCTTCCCCGCTCGGGCCGTGGACCGGGCTGGATTTGGGTCTGGGAGCAGAGCTGGCAGCCACTGCTGTGCATCTGGCTGGCTGGGAGCGGGGGAAATGTTTCCACCGAAGACCGACCGGGGCCAGGTAAGGCAACGTGTGGAGGAGAGGTTTCTCAACGACATTCTTCAGAAGATAAAGCTGTTTCCTTTGTGCTCTTCAAGGGTAAGTGAAGAAGGCTGCAATGTGGCCGTGATTGAGCAACGACAGCTAAGAATGCGGAGAATGAGAGGTCTCCGGGGAGAGCACAAAGGCCAGAGCCTTTGTCTGATGTGTGAGTTTTACGGTAACCTCCTAATGTCGTCTGTCCTGTGGGATTCCGTCAGGGGGTGGTTCAGGCACGACCCAGGCAGCAGGGAGTTTGTGTACAAGGCCACAGCATGTCCTCTATGTCCACAGGAATCTTTTTAATAAGTTTATTGGTACATTTTCGGTACGCATAACGATCACATTCATCCTAGGGAATCTGTGCCCGTGCATAATAGATCTTGATTCATTTTTCCCCTCCCTTGCCCTCCCTTCAAACCCTCTTTCCCTTCTTTACTTACAAAAGCTTTGTTCTGCTTTTTCTTTTCTAGTTTTTGTCCTCTTCTCTTTCCTTTCCCCCACTCCGCTCCCTTGTTCCCCTTCCCCTTTGAACATTTTCTTCCTATTTCACAATAACTTTTGCACATTTTGGTCCTTATTTACACTCTTGATTTTGCACACCAGAGAGACGATGTGATATTCACACGTGTGTCCGATTTATTTCACTTAAGAGTATGAACTCAAGGTGCATCTATTTACCTAGAAATATCTCATTTATTCTTCTTTATGGCTGAGTAGTACTCCATTATATTAAAAAAACCCCACATCTTCTTTATCTGTTCATTGGCTGATGGGCATTTGGGCTGTTTCCAAAATTTAGCTATTACAAACTATACCACTGTAGGGCTGGAGATTTAGCTCAGTGGTTTTTTTTTTTTTTTTTTTTTTTTTTTTTTTTTTTTTTTTTTTTGCAGGTTTAATGTCCAGTCTTCTCTATCTCCCTTGTGCCCTAGAAGCTAATTCTAATGAACTGTATATCTCAGGCTCCTTAGCCATCTGGTACCTATAGCCATAGGAAAGTGGGAGAGGAGACATAGGGTGTTGGTTCCATGGTATGATGCTTTTAATTCTTTCAGGAAGATACAAGAAGGGGAATACTTGGGTCAAATGGAACCTGTAGTTCTAATTTTTTGAGGTATCTCTATACTGATTTCCACAGTGGTTGCACCAGTCTGCACTCCCACCAGCAGTGGAGGAGGGCTCTCCCCCCCACAGCCCCACCAGCATTTGTTATCAGTTGATTTCTGGATAGCAGCCATTCTTTCTGCATTGAGGTGGAATCTCAGTGTTGTTTTTTCCTTGGTACTAGGGATTGAACTCTGGCCCTAGTGCTTACAAGGCAGGCCGCAGAACCACTGAACCAAGCTCCCAGCCCCCTCAGTGTTGTTTTAATTTGCATCTCTCGAATCCAGTGATGTTGAACATTTTTTTGTATATTTATTTGCCATTTGTACTTCTTCATCTGAGAAGTGTGTATTCATCTCAGACGCCCATTTTTGGATTAGGTCTTTAAATTTGGGGGATCTGATTTTTTAAAAAGTTCTTTATATGACCTACATAGTAGTCTTTTGTCTACAGGAATAGCTAGCAATGTTTTTTCCCACTTTGTGGGTTGTCTCTTTACTCTGTTGGTGGTTAATTTTGCTGTATATTTATTCAAAATAGTCTGAGGAAGTGTACTCCATAAGTAATACGAAAATTGAGGGGAGAAGTAGTAAAATTTTAAAATGCATTGATCATTAAATCTATATTTTTCTTCCTTAGGTGGAAAGGGCTCAAAAGTATCTTGACTACCACATGAAAAAGTATGGTTTCCAGGCGTCCACCCTGAATTTTACTCATGGCTGCATTGAAAAGTAGGCAGAGGCTGGAATTCAGAATGAGAATTACACTGTTACGTAGGGCAGTCTCCCTATGAGTAAAACCCATTTCCTTTGAAACACACCAATGTCACCATTTTTTCCTGAAATGACTCTCATTTAAGTGTTAAGCTTCATGTGTCTTCATAGAAGAAGGGACTTGAGCTGAGCTGCTATAGTCTACGAGGCTGTTACTGTTGTAACAGTAATATTTTATGTGTAGAAGGAAAGCACCCTAAAATAACAATGGCCAGATGTAATTCCGGCTACTTGGGAGGCTGAGGCAGGAATATCACAAGTTTTCAGACCCCTGGGAAACTTAGATTTTGTCTCAAAAAAATAATATAAAAAGCTATAGGTATAGCTCAGTGGTAGAGGGCTCCTGTGTTTGAACCCAAGTACCAAAATGATGATGATAATAAATAATAATAAAATGTGCAAATATGAATGTACATTAAAAAATACAAGCTGAGCCAGGTGTGGTGGTGCATGCCTGTAATTGGGAGGCTGGGGCAGGAGGATCGCCTCAAGTTGGAGGCCAACCTGGCCTACATAGTGATTTCAAGGCCAGCCTGACCTACACAGTGAGGCCCTATCTCAAAAGACCCCCCCAAAAAAAGTTTACTGAGATTTTAAACACTCTTGAGAAAAATGTTGAACGTGGGGAAGAGGGGAGGGAGGGAGGGGGAATAGGGTAGCTTTGATAGACGGTGGGAGCCACCTTTAGGGACATAAAGGGTTTGAGTCTGTAACATTTTTTTGCATTTTTTTTTTTTTTTTTTTTTTTTTTTAGCTCAAACCGTTATTAACCTTGTGCGTGATAAACAGCAGGGCAGGGCAGGCCCAGGTGAATGAATGTGAAACAGCACTGGGCTCTGCTGGGCTTAGTTCTGTCTCTCACCCTTGAACTGAAGACGCTTAACTAAAAGGGTGGCAAAAGGAGGAGGAGATGGCAGGAATTTCCTAGGTATGGCTTCTTTTTTTCCATCTCCGCTTGTGAAAAGTAGTGAGTCTGTGGGTCATGATGGCCACTGAACATGTGAAGACGTCTCTCTTGCCTGTCCTCCCTCCTCACTGTTGTATTTGAACCTTGACAAGTATCTGCAGGGACTTGGGGTTGACTACAAAAGGTTGCTGTGAATATACACTGTTTGTAGGACATGTGGTGTTTCTTAGGGCTCCTACTTCTTATCTGCCAGGATTTCAGATGTTTGGGAAGCTAAAGAAGATAGAACCTTTACATTAATGCTTTCTTTGTTTTGTTTTTTGAGACAGAGGCTCCCTATGTAGTTCAGGCTGGTCTTGAACTCACTGAGTAGCCCGGCTGGACTCAAACTTGTGGTGATCCTCTTGCTTCAGCCTACAGGTGTGTGCTGCCATGCCCAGCTCTACATTAATGTCTTTCTCAAAGGAACATCTGCAGGAGCTGCCCAGCTTCCTGTGTGCCATGAAATGAGTTCCTTTGTGTTGGAACACAACTCTGAGATTTAGGGGCTGGAGGTGTGGCTCAGGATAGAGCACTTGTATGCTGTGCACAAAGCCCTTGGTTCCACCCCCAGCTCCAAAAAGAAAAAAGAAAAAAAGATCATGAGATTATTGATTTACAGAACTGTCCCGGACCATTTCCTAATGTCTTCATTTTATTAGTACTCCCTTTTGTAGACCAGTCAGCCATCTTCACTGAGCTATGCTTAAGAAAAGTTAGACAACCGAGGCGTCTACGCTTTTGAAATTAGCTAGATAAAAATCTCAAGTTCCTGATCACTTATTTACTTTAGATTTATATGGACAATTTCCCTGGAAATTGAACCTGTGGAGATCAGATGGGAGGAATGAGGACTAATCGGCCTCCTGGTGAGCACGGAGGAGGAGGAGAGAGGGTCCCTGCAAGCTGCTGACACCTGACGGGAAAAGTAAAACACCTGAGGGTAAGTTGTTTGCCTGGAGAGGTTCTGTTGAGGGAGAGAGGCAGGTGAGTCCTGCGTGACCCTGTGCCCGTGTTGAGTGAATAAAGCCCTGGGGCTCCCTGTGGAAGGCAGGCAGGAGTGGCCTGGCCTCCAGGTTTTAACCTGCTTCTGTGGCTTTCATCTCCGTCACCCCTTGGTCGGGTTCAAGCTCAGCTTGTCGGCTGGTTCCTACATGAACCCAGCCAGGGCTTCATGTATACCGGGCAAGCACAGTATTCTACCACACACCCGAGCCCAATACTCTTGAATACAATGTGTCATATGACATTACAGAAAGTTCTATGTTTATTAAAGGTTAATTCTTCTATTAACAGACTAATGGTTAAAGAAAATGTAGTGTTTTTATCAGTGCAGTGTGACTGCTGTAAAGGATAAATGAGCCATTCGTAGGAAAACAGATGCACCTGAGACCACAATGTTGGATTCTCTTACATAAAAACCCAGTATATAAAGTGCAAAATAAAAGATAATAATGAGAGAGAAAACAAGGTATTGTAGTCCAGCATGTGCTGGGCGTGTTGGTGCACACCTGTAATCTAGGCCCTTGGGAGGCTGAGGCAGGAGGATCACCATGAAGCCAGCCTGGGCTATGTAGTGAGTTTAAGGACATCCTGAACTACAAAGTGACACCCTGTCTCAAAAGAGAAAGCCAGGGAGAAAAAGAATTGCAGTGTATTATGCACATGTACGAATTCCCCACCGTGAGTGTAACCATCACATACTGCAAACATATACTAATAAAAATGTGGGCCAGGGACTTAGCTCAGTGGTTCCGGTGCCTGCCTTGCAAGCACAAGGACCCGATTCCCGTACCAAACAAACAACAAAAAACATAAAAATGTTACAAGCGCCTGTAAACAGCTTGTATCTGCTGTTAGTTTTACAGCTGCCTGGGGCTGCACTTAGTTCCGAGCCGCAGAAAATTTCCGCAACCCGAGGGCACGTTGGACACAGGCAGAGGCAGAGGCAGTGACCTGACTGCTGCACCCGAGCAGCCCTCCCGCAGCTACCGAGGCCGCCGAGGCCAGCGGGTCATTGTCAGCACCGACCCTCCAGGCGGGGTTTTGAAATCGAGGCGGAGCCCTCGCTCTGTCTCCACGTCCCAGCCCAGTGCCATCCTTGACCTTGCTCGGGAGTCATTGCGCAGCTTCTGCCCTGGGAGCCAAGTTCAGTGACGTCCTTGCCAGCCTTGAGCTGCCAGGAGAGGAGACGCACAGTTACCCCAAGGGTCCGTCTTCTCCTCTTCTGGGCGGGCAGGGATTTACCTGCAGAGCGCACCCGGCTGTCAGCCGGCCCAGGTGGTTTGTGGCAAGATCCCATCCCAGGGAGGCCCGCTGGCTCCTTCGGCTTTTGGCTCTCAAAAAGTAGACAGTGATCCCGGGTGGTTTAATTATGAAACTCTTTCAATCACCGTTTTTCAAACTGTAAAATGTGAATCTAGACACAGTTACCGTATAGGGCTGTAAGAAGATCGAATGGGGTAACAAATAGTGGGGCCCCTCCCTCGCACCCCCTGTGCTCTCTCCCCTTTTGTTTATTTTTTCTTTTGTTGGCACTTTAATGGAGCCTGAGGAGGAGCTGAGGAGATAAATGTATGCTTGTGGTCAGTCTATGAAATTAAAAGTTCTTTCTTTCTTTCTTTCTTTCTTTCTTTCTTTTTTTGGTTTTTTGAGACAGGGTCTCACTATGTAGTTCAGACTGCCCTGGAACTCACTGTGTAGCCCAGGTTGGTCTCAAAGTCACAGCAATCCTCCTGCCTCAGCCTCCCAAGTGCAGGATTACAGGTGTGCACCACCACGCCCAGCAAAAGTTCTTTTTTTAAAAATAATCATATTGGCCCCTGAGCCTCTTCACAGTAGCCTGCCCTGTACTCCAAGGTGCACTTTTATTTTTATTTGCTGTCTCCTTCATTTTCACTTGGCCCAAACTTGTTCTGCAGAGCACATTTCCCCTTCTCCCCTTTTTTGGCATGGGGGGTGGTTGAGACAGGGTCTCACTATGTAGTTCAGACTGACCTGGAAGGCACTATGTAGCTCAGGCTGGTCTTGAACTCACAGTGATTCTCCTGCCTCAGCCTCCTGAGTGCTGGGATTATAGGCGTGTGCCATCAAGCCCGGCTTCACCCTTCTTGTTTTTCCTACTTCTAATAAATGTGAAACTTTGCCAAAAAATAAAATACAATGTTAAATTTTTTTTCAGCTTTAATTGAGTTTATTAGTACATTTTAGGGATACAGTACAGTTACATTCATTGTTGGGATCTTGTACCTCCACATGACAAGTCTTGATTCTCATTTTTTCCCCTTACCCCTGCCCTCCCTTCACCCAATGTTAAATTTTTATATAATAATAAACTGGCTAGGAGTGGTGGTACACGCCTGGGAGGCTGAGGCAGGAGGATCACTGTGAGTTCAAGACCAGCTTGGACTATACAGTGAGATCCTGCCTCAAAAAATTAAAAAATGGACATTGCTAAAAAGCAAGAGAATATTTTTTTAAATGTATAACCTATATTCAATGATAATCTCTTTAACATATAATTTAATATTCTAATTCTGTTTATTTAGTATAGTTCCTAAGTCTAAAAATTTTTATTTTTTGAGACGGGCTGCCTGTGTAGTTCAGGGTGGCCTTGAGCTCCCTATGTACCCCAGCCTGGCCTTGAACTTGGAGTGATCCTCCTGCCTCAGCCTCCTAAGTGGTGAGATTATAGGCTTGCACCATCATGCCCAGATGTCCCTTCATGTTTATAATATTTTAGTGTTGAGCACAGGCTTAGTGATGACTTCAGTCCTGCTTTTGGCTAACAGAGCCCCTCCCAATGTTGACCGAAGTCATAGCAGTGCTGCAACTCAGATCCTGAAGGTCGGAAGCTTAAGGAAATGAGACAGCAGGGTGCAGCACATCATCGTGGGGATGAAGTGACAGGAGTCTGGCTTCACCACTCAGGTACGAACTTGAGTAATGACCTGGCCACCTCCACCCTTGGGTACCCAATGGACACCGGAGTAACTTCTTCCCCTGGTGGTGAGGATCGTGTGAAATGCCAGCCCAGGGCTCCGAAACAGAAGCTGCAGTCGCCGTGGACTTGGGCTTCTTGGCTTCCCTGTTTGCTCGGGACGGTGTGCAAAGCGCTGGGCAGAACTCACTGTTGCTCGCACGCTACAGTAATTTGGGACACAGTGACTGTCTGTCCACATACATGTAACTCTTGTGGCCTCATAAACAGGCCCTAAGTTTATCGAAAGACCGTTCTGGAACATCCTGTCCTCCTGTGGACACCTGGCTCCTGTGGACCGAAGATAGAGGCAGAACCGGGATCCCAGAGAGCAGCTTCCTGGGGCATCCTGGTGGAAGTGTGGCCGTGGAGAGCAGCAAGCCCAGTTGTACTCCTAGACCTGAAGCAGAAAGGAGCTATCTCTACGGACACAGAGGTATGTGCGTACCTTGAGACCGCGGTGGCTGGAGGGCGCTGATTTATCTTCAGATAGCTCTAGACAGGAGCGTTCCTGGCACCTGCCTGGGAGACCGCGACGGGAGAGGTGGACGAGGGATTCACTGGGAGAGTCATGGTGGCCACAGCCAAGCCCACTCCCGTCGGCCCGCTGCCATTGCTCCTGAGAGAGCGAGAGCAGATCTCCAAGTCCAGGGTTAGGAGTCAGTGGTTGTTGCTGGGGGTGACGGTTAAGTCCAGAGCAGCATCTGCACGGCCAGCCAACGGGCGGTGTGATTTTTATGCATCTGGAGAATATTACGTAACTGTCTACCCGTGAAAGTCACTCTCCAAACTTCATGGGGCTGTGTTACCACACAGGGCTTTGGAGGCACTGTGGCCAGTCCTAACAGTGCCCAGTGCTGTCATTCCTTTGTTTTTTCTTGACAGTACTGGGAATTGCCCCTAGGGCCTTAGGCGTGCTAGGCAGATGCTCTCTTCCGCTGAGCTACATCCCCAGACTCGCATCTTTTGATGTCTCTCTAATCTCAGTACATGCACCTGGCAGCTCGTATGGACTGCGCTTTGCCACCGGCCAAAAGGCAGAAAGGCTAAGAGGGTCCCCTTTGCTTCCCGCTTCAGTACCACCTCTGCTCTCACCCTGTCTCGCACGTCTTGGCCTCACTCCTGTATCTAAGTAGAAAGCATTCTGGGGTGCCACGGGTTAGGGTACGTCCAGTGCCTGTGTCTTTGTCTTGTCCTTGGAGGGTTAATAAATACACCTGTGGTCTCTGGTCACCCCTAAGGCCCTCACTCGGGCGGCTCTGGCCCCACTGCTGGTCATGGGGCGTGGGGGAACCTAATCCATGGAGCCAGCAACACTGGATCGCAGGAATTCTTCACCTTCCTCCAAAAGTGGGAAGTGCCAGGGCTGCTGTTTCGATTTCTTCTTCCTGCAAGGCTATTTGATTGCTACAGGTTATTCAGCTGTCATTTTGGGAGCTGTACCATCACAAAGCAAACCAAATCACACGTGCCTTCTTTTCTGTAACAGCCTTCCATTTCTTTTCTCCTACTTTCCGTGGGTTGTTTTTTTTTTTTCTTTTTGGTTTTTTGAGACAACGTCTGGCTGTGTAGCCCAGGCTGGCCTTGAACTCACAGCGATCCCCCTGCCTGAGCCTCCTGAGTGCTGGAATTACACGTGCATGTCACTCTTTTTTTCTCCCACTTTTGTCTGTCCTTTTTCCTGTCAGACGTGTGGAAAGTTGCATCCTGTCCCAATCATGTGCACCTCTTCTGAGTGAGCAGTGGCCTCCCCTGCATCGTACACATCTTGTCAGACCACTGGACTGAGGAGGAGAGGCCTGGTGGTTTCACAGGGGCCGTGGAATGGCTTCCTTGGGTCCCTGAAGCCCTGGGTGCCAGTGGCTCATCGCGTGCCCAGTTCCTGCAGAGCAGCCTGGGCATCCTCGGTACTTTTCCATGGGGACTTGTCGCAGCCGCCCCCATACTTGGTCATGCCTGTCATGCCCAAGATGATCCAATCTTATGGCAATGATTTCCTTGATCTGGAGGGCAGCGGCGAGATGTTTGGCGATATCAGTCTCGTTTGCAATTCATTTCCCACCAGAGAAATGCCACCCTGCACCCTTCCCCCGAGTGTGGCCGCCAGGGTGGCCCTCTGGCGGCCTCTGTGTGCTGCACTTGTATCTGTCCTTGTCCGGAGGCCGAACAGACCCGAGGAGCTCAGGGACAGGGCCGTTCTCTGTCGCGTCCATCTTGGCTCTCAAGGCAGTGGCTATTCGGTTAGCTCTCGAGTTCCTTTACCGTTACTTGTAGCCAGCTGGGCGCGGGCAGCGACATGCTGCCCTCCCCCGGGGGTGCGGCGCTCGGCAGGTGTCGTCCCACAAGCTGTCTGGGGGGCTGACCGTCCCCCACCTGGCACTGTCAGATCCATAGCCGCGCGTGCCCTCCGGCCGCTCCAGCTGCAAACGAGGGAGTAAAAAGTCTGCTTCTGCTCTTCCCGCTCCGCGGAGCACAGCACAGCCCTTGCCCTTGGAAGTGAGCTGTAGCTGCCCCCGTAGTGACCCGGCTCATCCCAACATGAAGTCTCCTCGCCATTCTGCCTGGCTGCTTTTATTTATTTATTATTTATTACTTAATTTTACTTTTGGTACCGAGGATGGAACTTGGCCCTTGTGCTCGCGAGGCAGGCAGCGGCACCGCGGAGCCCAGTCCTGGGCCCTCGTTGCCTTTTAACGTTTCCCCTCCACCTTATCCCCTTCTTGCCTAGGAACCCTCTCTTACTTTCACGGCTTCTCAGTGTGCTTTACTCGGGGTCTCGCTGCTCGGTTTAGGGCATTAGAACTCCCTGTGTAGCCCAAACACAGTGGCCCTAAGCCTTCAAGGACTTGGGCTGCAGGGACGCGCCCCCATGCCCGGCTTCGTTTTTATTTTTATCTTTTTTGGTAATTTTGCACATTCGGGAAAACGTTTGAGACCTGTTTTTCTGAGCCTGGATTGTTTCTCTCTGCGTGAGGAGCTGCAGTTCCCTGCACTCCTGCAGGTGGCACCGCTGTCTCCGTGCAGGCAGTGCTTTCTCCTGTGCGCGTTTGCCTCATTTCCTTGCCCACCCGCTCGATAGCCAGGCACCCGGAGTGGCTCCATCTCTTGGCAGGGTGTGCGGGCTCCGCCCGGTACTGACCTTTGCTCCTTTGGTTTGTAGCAGGGAGTCTGGGCAGAGTGACAGCTGCTCCATTTGAGATTTCCGGGGAACCTCCCGTCCGATCTCCTCCGTGGCTGCGGTAGGCCACGTTCCCACCACGAGTAAGGTGTTCTGCCCCATCCTCACCGGCGCCGATTGCTTTTTTATTTCCTTGACCATCGCTGTTCCGACTGGAGTGAGATGGAATCACAGTGTGGTTCTGATCTGCGTTTCCCTCCTGCCCAATTTACTTGATCCCGCATAGGTGTGCTGTTTTTGGAGATCAGTCTCAAATTTTTTTAGACTGGTCCATAAAAACATAAAAACTGTATAGACTTAGGATGCACCGTGTGATGTTTTAATACATGTATGCACTGTCTAATGTTTAAGTCAGGGCAAATATATCTCTCTCCTCAAAATTTATCATATATTGATGAAGAGAGTCCAAATCCTTCCTTCTGTTTTTTTAAATACGCAGCCTGTTGTTGTAATCAGCCACCAACCTGCTGTGCAGGGTGCAGCCGCACTTCCGGTCCTACTATAACCTGGCCCTTGCTGACCGACCCGTCCGCAGCCTGGCCCGGTGTCCCCAGCCCGTGGACGCCACCGCCCGCTGCTCTCAGCTCCTTTGACATCGGCTTCTTCAGATCCGCGGATGGCGTTCCGCGGCCCTTACCTTCCAGGGCTTGGCTTATGGCGAGTTCTGATCTCGTGAGAGGGACAGCTGACACTGAAGGAAGATTTTAAAATGAGACAGCTGTGTGGCCTAGAGACGTGACCCCGTGGCCTGGGAGGAGGATGTGCCTGTCTGAAGAGTGGCGATAAACCCGGCGTGGGTACCACGGGAGTTGCATGCCTGTCCTCTATCAGTGCCGCAACACAGAACCAGGCTGGCGTGCTGCCTGCGAATGACTCCGGGAAGGCTGCGGAGAGCTCTGCCCCTTCCTCTTAAATTCAGACAAGCAAAGAGTATTTTGCTATTAAAAGAGTTATGTGATTAAAACACTGCAGCTGGCCGGAGCTCCACGGCAAGACCCTGTCTCAACCCCACAACTGCAAACAAAACAACAAAACACAAAACCACAGCAACATCTAAAATGGTGCCCATAGGACTTATGCTACGGATGGTCATGTTTTGGGTAAGAGTAGTAATAATAATACAGCGAAGGCAATAAAACTCTTATGGAGCAGTTAAAATGATCCAGGGACCATGCGGTCCTCACAGTCACCTGTATTGGCCTCACTTTCCAGATGGAGAAGCTGAGGCTAAGAGAAGTTAATTTATAAATCCAAGGTAACACGGCTAGAATGTGGTAATGTGGACCCAAGACTGGTTCTAGAGTGAGCACTTTTAACCAGAAGGCTGTAGCGCCTCTCCTTGTTCATACTTTTCTAGATTCAAAGGGTGTCAGCACTGGAGAGGACTGCTCCTGCAGGTTCCCACCTTGGTTCTCTTTGGGTTGAGTTCTCTCAGGAAAGTGGCATGGGTGTCACTACTTACTGGGGAAGATGACATCAGGTGGGAAGAGGAGGAGGAGGAGGAGGAGGTGGTGGAGGTGGAGGTGGAGGTGGAGGCGGTGGTTTTTAGAACATCGTTTTCCTGATGCCAGGTGTGGTGGCACATGCAGGGAGTCGCTCTGAGCTGGAGGGCAGCCTGCACCACAGTGAGATCCTGTCTCAAAAAACCCCAAAATATCATTTTTCTGGGTGAAAAAGTTGGCAGGCAAATCTGTTCCAACGGAGAGCGTCAGTGTCCTGAGGGGGAGACGGGCGAAGAGGGCACAGCAGCAGCATGGAGGGCCCCAGCTGGGTGCTAGTCTGCCTTAGAACTTTTCATTTTAGAAAGGTGGGAACGGGCCAGGGATTTGGCTCAGTGGTTCCGCTGCCTGCCTTGCAAGCACAAGGACCCAAGTTCGATCCCCGGTACCCCCCCGCAAAAAGAAAGTGGGAATTGAGGGCAGAGAGGCCAAGGTCTCCAGGGAGAAACTTCAGCAGAGGAAAATTTCTGTGAGACTGCTGACTTCTGGAAGGCAGAGCCTGGGATGCCTGTACACCCTCCTGAGAGCAGAGTTTAAATTTTACCTAATGAGTCCGCTGTCATTGCTTCAGGTGACTTGTTCATGCTCTTAATTCCCTGTCTTTGGGCCCAGTTCTTCTCTGGTCCGGAAGTGTCTCATTTGGAAGTGAAAGAAGGAAAAACCAAGGTGCCATCTGTCCCTGGGAAATCCCACCTACTGCTTGAGGTCAAGCTGGCTGCTGCTGATCACCTCAACCTCTGGACTCGGGCAGCTGCTGCTCATACCTGGACTTTCTTGTCTGTGCACAAATAGATTTCTGGCAGTTAGAGGATGGGAATGGGAAAAGAAGGCATTTTTGCATTTTGGTGCCTCAGACTCAAAGGTAAAAGGTACATATAATCTCACACAATGCATCCACTGAGCAAAACCTTTGTGGTATAACAGAGACTGCCTTTAGGAAGCTCCCAGTGACATTTACCTCAGGGGTAGCAATAATCTGGTTAGGGAGAACCACCTGGGTAGTCGAATAATTGATCCCATTCCCAAGACCCCATGGAATTATAAAATCTAATCTCCCTTCTTAGAAGCCCAACCTAAATCACACAGGATATTAGTGTTTGGGTACATCAAGACACCCCTAACTTGTCTTTTCATTTTGGTTTGCCTTTTGACAGGACATTGCAGATCCACTTTGGGCCACAGGCGATAACACGAAGTCTGGATGTGCCCCTAAATCGCTGGAGGCTCTGCAGCAAAAAGAAAAGCTGCTAAATCTATAGCCAACCGAGAGCCTGCCAGGAGTGGGCAGGAAGCTACAGAATTAGGTGAGTATGATTTTATTTTTTATTTTTGTTTTGGTACCAGGGATGAACTGTGGACCTTGCACTTGCGAGGCAGGTGAGGCAGGTGCGGCACCACTACATCCCCAGCTCTTCCCCATACAATAAGGCTGCAGGAATAAATGGCTGAAAGGGCCCCAGATTATAGACCACAGATAAAAATAAGCAGATTTTTTTGGGGGAGGGTACCAGGGATTGAACTCAGGTCCCTGCACTTGCAAGGCAGGCAGTAGAACCACTGAGCTAAATCCCCCACCCAAGCAGATTATTTTCTTAGAAGATATTAATTAAAGATTCATAGGAAGTCACCGAAGGACCAGTTCCCTAGCATTTTTCTAGTTCTAAGGTATTTTGCATTCTTGTGCCACCTAGTGGTCAGGTGTGGAACTGAGCGGTCGACCGGCTTCGGGGGAACAGAAGTTGAGGGGTTCAGCAGGGTTTACCTCGCACAGAAATCTCGCTGGAGTCCCGCTAGCTAACTCCTGCTGAGGACTGACGTACTGAATCTGGTAATGTTCTGAGGTAGCTCTCTTAAAGCAGATACTGAATAAAGAAAACAAAATGAAGGGTAAACACATGAAGAGTAAAACCTCAGTTCACCCTAATGATTGGCGACAGTGACCGTATGTGGTGAGATCAAGAAGTTTGATAATGTTAAAAAATAAGATTTAAGGGCCGGGGATTTGGCTCAGAGGTTCTGCTGCCTGCCTTGCAAGCACAAGGGCCTGAGTTTGATCCCCGGTACCAAAAAAAAAAAAGACAGCGAGCGAGCTAAGAGACATAAAGATATAGATTTCTGTTCCTTTATAAGGCGGTCTGGTTCCCCTTTTTGGAAAATGAAGTTTAGTTCTAGATTCCAGAGTTAAAGAGGAAGGTTAAGAACATTAAGGGAAAGTCCAGTGGTGATGAAATAAGCAGAAGGCTTCGAAGACACAGGAAGCATGAGTCGCGGTCCTTGTCACAGGAGCCGATATTAAAAGTCCCAGATAACAGCGCTCACCTGATTGAGGGTCCATAAGGAAATCTGGTCTGAGCTTTGTGCAAAAAGAGCAGGAGTGAGGGGAGCTGGCGTGGCTCAGAGTTTTTGCTTGTTTTAGTTCTGGGGGGATCAACCCAGGGCCTCATTGAAGCTATATCTCCCACCCTTTTAAAAAAATCTCAGGCCAAAAAAAAAAAAAAAAACCTGAGACAGTCTCATGAATTTGCTAGGTTGTCCAGGCTGAGCTTGAACTGGCGATTCTCCTGCCTCAGCCTCCCGGAGTGCTGGGATCACCACACCCGAGTGGCTCAAGAGATTTCTGACGATGTGTTTGAGGATGTGTAGGTCTACCCACTGGGATGGATTCTAAGATAGACCACTCTTTTAAAAAGAAAGCTTTTTCTTGAGTGTGGTGGTGAAAATCTGTAATACCAGCACTCAGGAGGCTGAGGCAGGAGGATCACTGTGACTTTGAGGCTAGCCTGAGCTACATAGTGAGAACCTGTCTCAAACAAAAAATAGTAACAATAAAAGAAAACATAACTGTTTTCCAGATTCTAGTTAAGAATATTTGCACTCACTGTGTAGCTGTAGTTTTTTCTTCCCTGCTCTACCAGTATCATTTTGCCCTTGAGAAAAAGCATTTGACATCTGTGTACCTTCGTCTCTGTCAGAACGGAGTCCTTTGAAAGAGCACCTCTCACAGGGTGGACGTCATCTGCTTAGATCTGCCAGGGCCACTGGCGCCTGAGGTCAGAACCAGCCACAGATCAGGCTGCTGGGTGCCACAGCAGGGCTCCTGGCCACGGGCAACTTGTCCCCAACAGTTTGTTCGATTTTCCAAATATAAGGAAATGAGGAATCATGGCGATCTCCCACGCACCAGTCCCTAGAGGCGAGCTGCTCACCTGTGGGGGTTGTTCTGTGCCTTTACACAGAAAAGGGGCCCGATTCTCCCCTCTCTACAGATGCTTCCCAAAGATGTGGGGTTCAAAGAGTATAAGGAGCAGAGTTTCTCTGGATTGATCATTGCTCAAATGCAGTATCTCAAGCCCTTCTGTCACAAAAGAGAATTTCTGGGTCCCCGCTGAGGCAGGCCCGGCCTCCGTGTTCCTCTTGTGGGCTCTGCCTCTCTGGGGTGCTGGGGCCACCTCAGGGTGGGGCCTGCAGAGTCCGGCAGGGGTGTGGGCCCCTCTGCCTGTGCCTCACCTACTCACTAACTCTAACTTAGCACCGACTGTGTGTGTGCAGAGCGCCCCGGCCTACCCTGTCTCCCGGTGGGGCCTGCCGGTCCCCGCCAGGGGTCCCGCTGGTGCACTTTCTGCACCTTGTTCCTGGTGCTGTTTCTGTGACTGGCCAGTATCCCTCACCAGGCCTGACAGTGGGCCCAGAGCTTCCTCCTTGGCCTTGCCTTGGGGCAGCAGAGGGGATCCCCGATCTAAGTGAGCTCTGCACAGACTCACTGTCTTGGACCCACAGACTATGGGACAGACAGACAAAGGCCCAGTGGGCCAGGAGAAATGGGCTCCACCGTGGAGCTGTTATTGACTGCAGGAACGTTGTCCAAACACTTTGGGGGGAACTGTGCTGGGCATCGAGGCGCATGCCTGTAATCCCAGCACTCAGGAGGCTGAGGCAGGAGGACTGCCGTGAGTTCGAGATCAACCTGGCCTGTGTAATGAGACCCTTCTAAAAAAAAAAAAACCCCAAACTGGGCCGGGGATTTAGCTCAGTGATTCTGCTGCCTGCCTCGGTACCAAAAAACAAACAAACAAACAAAACAAAGCCAGAAAAACCCCCCAAAACTCTAAATTAAAAAAAAAGAAAAAAGAAAGCACTGAACCCTGAACATTCTTAAATTCCTTTCCAGATTTAGGAGCTCCTTGACGGGTCCTGCTCCCATTATGGTGAATGAGCTGCCCATCTATAAATAAGAAGGACTTCGTGGCTGCTCTCAGGAAGTGCCCGGCAGCTCTGCACAGGGGACAGAGCTAGTCTGGCTTGCACTGAGACTGGGCTGTCCCTCTGGACGGTGGGCCACACCCAGCCTGGCAGCCTCCCCCGTGCTGTCTTGGGGCTACAGTCAGCACTGTTCCCCCAAAGTTCCGAGTGCATTCTCTTCCTCTGTGGCCTGACCTACGACCCCCACGAATACTTAGTCCATCACCAGCAGCGGCCCAGAAGGGCTGGGGAGGGGCAGGCAGCGCGGGGCGCCAGGTGCCGGCTGCTCCTGGTACTGTGGCTGTGTGGCGGGCCCTGGCCGGCTCATCCTGTTCCCCTAAGGAGCTTCCCCGGTGGGGAGCAAATGAGCTTCCCCTGCAGCCATATGTCAAGTGCAGGGTGTGGAGGAAAGGCCTCTCGGTGCGCGGTGAGAGGGCCCTGTGTGACCGGGCTTTTATTCACTGTCCTTACTTTCTTCTCTCAATTAACCTTATTATTCCTTTCAACTGGCTCTATGGGAAGGCTGTGAAGGAGAGATTTCCAGTTTTACTTTTAAATAATGTAGCAGAAGCCGGCGGAGCCGCCGCATCCCTTTGAGATCGGGACTTCCCAGGGCGCCGGGAAAGTCGCCGCTGCCCGACTAAACCTGTGCCAAGCGCCGGGCTGTTTCTCTGCCGAACCTCACCGCCCCCGGCCTCCCTCCGATGTTGATGTCTAATTTTACAGAAGAAAACGCTGAGGCTGAATATATTTAACTAGGAGATGTGCTAAAACAATATGGCAATATTTACATTCTTTAAAAACTATTAGCGTTGTAGGAAAATGGATGCGCCGGAGACCACGCTTAAATGTCACGTCGGTGAGAAACCCGAGTTGTAGGTCAATTCAAGGAGCAAAGCAAAGCGCAGACAGTAGGGAATGGGCAGGCCGATCCTACGCAAAAGGGAAGCGAACAGGACGAGGGCAGAGGATGAGACAGAGAGACCGGGGGCTCTCAGGGACCCCAGCGGAGGGCCCTCGCCGGCCTCTCCTGGCTCTCAGAGCGTTGCCGGCCTTCGAGCCGCCTTCCCACGGCGCAGTTTGGCCGCGGCTGCCTTGAAGTTAACCTTTCAGGTCATTCTGACTTTCCCGACGAGCCGGGAGTCCCGGGTGCCAGCGCCTCGGAAGCAGGAGGTTGGGCCGGTGAGCCCGCCTGCCCGCTGGATGGCGCTGGGCAGCAGCAGCAGCGGGCACTGTGACTTCCAGAAGTGCTTCAGAGCGGGGCAAGAAGGCCGGGTAAGTACTGGAAGTGAAGCGGTTTTCCCTTTTGTTCTAGAGACATTCTCTCGCGATGTCGCGTGGGCTGGCCTTGAACTCACTGTGCAGCCCAAGCTGGTCTTGAGCTCAGTGATTTTCCTGCCTCAGCCCCCTGCCCCCGGAGTGCTGGGATTACAGGTGTGCACCGCCTCACCTGGCAAGGGGTGGTCTTTTGAGGAGGAATAATAGCAATGGTCTTTTACTGTCATAAATTCTAAAAGAAAGTGAAGGATTCGTCGTGCGTTTGAGCACATGGATGACAGGATGGAGTCATAAAGGGACAAGTGTTGGGACCAAGGTCAGAGCAGCATCTCTGCACAGCATAGGGTTTATCCCTGCTCTTCTTAAAGGAATTCCTAAGTTTAAAAATGCGGCAATTAAAAGGGAAACTATTACTATAAAAGTAAGGATAGTAGTTACATCTAGGGTGGAGGGAGATGGGTATGTCTTGAGAGGACATACACAGGTTTGTCCCAAAGGGTGCGGTAACTTTTACTGTTAAAAATCACCATAAAGTGGACCAGGGATTTGGCTCAGTGGTGCCGCCACCTGCCTTGCAAGTGCAAAGGCTGGAGTTCTGATTCCCAGTACCAAAAAAAAAAAAGAAATCACCATAAAATGCAGCTGATACAGTGTCACAGGCCCCTAATCCTAGCCCTGTGGGAGGCTGAGGCAGAAGGGTCCAAATTCCAGCCCAGCCTAGGTAATTTAGGAGCTCAATGACGTCATCTAAAAAGAAAAACCATTAGGTGAATACGGTGTTCTGTTTGCCTCTGCCTGGAACTGTCCCTGTTTAAACTTCAGTGTGGGATGACTGTTAATGGGTCTTCATCTCCCCCTTGTATTCCCCTCGGTGCCAAGCCTATGCGTTTCTGTCACCCACGCCCAGGGCGGGTCTCCGGTCTTGAGCAGATCCTTCAGTCTCACCCAGAACGATGCTTGCCCAATTTAGTTGGGCATTTCTTACTCTAGTTGGCGCAGTCAATTAATTATCACAGTACTCCTGCTTATGAGAAGAAAGCCTACTGTAAACTGGTGTACTGTGCTTTGCCGGCAGGAGCCTCTGGCGTCTCAAGTTCACAACCTCAGTCCCCGCCACCCTTTCCTTTTACTCTCTCCCCTCTGGAGCCAGGGATTGAAC